CGATTAATTTTATTTAGGCTTGCTGTAGATTGCGAGTACGGTTGTTTGAAAGATGTCCTAATTCGGGATCGAACTGTTTTTGGCGTTTTTGACGACTCGTTGTCAGATCGACTAAAGACAAAAGCGGATTTAACCCTCGAAATGGCAGTCAAATGAGTCTTCCGAGACGGCAAAGTACGATAGAAAAACAAGGATCTCCGAAAAGACTACCGACACTAGACTGCTGGATTTGGTGAAAATGCACGCAAGATACGAAATCAACCATGAAACCCGAAACCTGTACCGGGGCACGGTCAAACCCCGAATGTAAACGCATGTGGCGTGGTGGACACAACACAAGGGGCAGTCATGTTTAGCAAAAGATGCAACCTGTAACAGCTGTCACAAAAGAGGCCACTTTCAATTATAGAACTGTTCCTCTCTCCAAAAAAAAAAAAAAAAACAGGCAGCGAAGCGCACGTCCGTCAACGAAGTTGCAAATGTTGAAAAGGCCGACTTTTCTTTTCTCGGTGAAGTCTATAGCAGCGAAGCAGACTCCTGGACCGCCATATTGTGAAAGTGAATCGCCATGAAACAAATGCACTTCAAGCTAAATGATGGAAAAGCAGTTTCCGTTGTCGGGGATAGGGACTGAATTAGCTCAAAGACCACTGGTTAAACTAAGTAAGTACTAGTAGAATAACTAAACTGAACTGCGTAAGTTCTAGTAGGATAAAATAACAGTTTTGACTTGTGAGCCACACATTCACATGTACGCACCGTGCATCTTTTGTTTGGGAAAGAGATCAATAGGAAAGTATATTGAGCAGTTCTTTATTTGACATCAGTACTTTTATTCGTGATTTCTCCTTCATTATGAGAAGACAATTTAAACGCATTTTCCTCTCCTGTTTCCACTCAAATCCCGCAGCTGCATGCGTTAGTTATGTGAAGAGCCGAAGCTAAAAACTTTACATGTCTTCTGGTGATCACGCCACTAACTAGAATAGGCCCTTTGCAGCTGGGGTCACGTGACCAAATTTTTCCTAAAAAATTTTTGTATTATGGGCTATAACTAAAAGAATGCCAGAAATGGAAAGAGCGCATCGAAAATACCAAAATGGCCAAGTTTGAGGCCCCAGGAAAAAACGAGTAAGTTTATACCATAGTTTGAGTTTTCGGAAAATTTAGAGGATTCGTATGGAAAATGTTGCTGGAGAGCAAGGTCTTGCTCTCCAGCAACATTTTTCCATACAAATCTTCTTATTCTTTCAAAAATTCAGACCATCATAAGATCTTATTCTCTGATGATGGGGGCCTCAAACTTGGCCATTTTGATATTTTCGACATGCTTTTTCCATTTCTGGCATTCGTTAAGTTATAGCTCATAATTTTATGAAAAGTAGGTGACGTGATGGCTTAGCTGCAAAGGGCCTATTACAAACGACAAGATTGTCGAAATCGGGCCAAAATTTGTTTTGCCTTTAATATGGCGTTAAAGCTGTATAGACTGGAGAATGTCAAAGAAGGCAAAACCGATTTCATTATTATTGAATTCTCCAATTGCTGAAGAAGGATTCTAAACAAATTGAACAAATGCACTCGAGATCTCATTGTTCAGTTGCCATATATAAGCTTACCATTTTTCCATAGGCGCCCACAGCGGGTTTACAACGCCTGATTTACCTGGCACATTCTACACACCTCATCAGTTAATTACAATCGTTTCCCGGCTTTTTCAGCCAAACTCTTTTAAGAATTTTCATCCTTCAAATGTTAATTTTTCCTAAATATGTTCTGCTATTTTTTGGTGGCAAGTGTCTGGGAAAAACAAGCAGCCTGATTCTGAATGGATCATTTTGGAAGCCAGACATTTCACAGCTTTCTGGGTTTTGCATATTTAATTAGAGTCTAAAACGACCAAAACAATAGCGTCCATGCAGGCGTTCCCCTCCGTCCTCTTCCGATCATTTCGCCCTTATCACTTTCCCCACTCCTTCTCCAAGCAGGCTAAGCTTCTCGCAAAAAAAAAACTGAATTGCTTTCACAAAAAACGGTGGATCTTGCCTATCCTCAAACACATCGTGAAAAAGCCGAATAGTTTATTGCTTTCTCACTAAAAAGACAACATCAAGCCAGCTGACATTAACCCAACAATGATACCGCCTTCGGTGGATCATGAATAGACTGGCGAGTGAACAAACTAGAAGGCTTAATTTGCGCGGAGAGCGTAAGGGAGGAAAAAGAAACTGAACGACTATGTCGGAAAACTTGAACACAGCGATGAATGGAACACAGTCATCGAGCTGCTACAATCCTACAGCACAAAAAATCGGCAAAAACCTCTGCCTATGGCCTGATTTTTGTTGTTTCTCTGGCTGGGAACACCGTCATCGGAATAATTGTCTACAACACGAAAACCATGAGAATATCTATCAATTTTTTAATTATAAACATGGCCATGTCCAATCTGCGGATCCAGCCGGTTAATCTCTTTTATTAATTTTGATGCCACAGTACGTGTGATATGTGCGGCTATTGTTTGTGCTCGATTTTCGTTTCAGTTCTAGACCCTGCCCGAGACTAAAGAAGTAAATCACTAGGCTTTCTGTTTAGGGAGTTGGGAAATCATAAGAATATAGGATTTACCTTTCCTGGGTATGAGAAAGTAAAGAAATTTCTCAAATTTTCATGATATGAGGTTAGGTCCCCTCCCCGCCATTAGTAATTCAACAAAATAGCAACACTGATGTCTATATATTCAGCAGTGTACTTTCTCCGTATATCATCTCTAATCTTGTTTTTTAAATAAACGCCTGTCCCGATTCTGTAATAGTCTTAGGGCAACATCGTCAGGGTCGCTGGAATCTCAGACCGCCATCTTAAATTTGTTCGACTGGAAGAGCTTAGAACTATGATGGTTTTAAGCTGCGAGCTTGATTAGCGAAAAACATAAGGTGGTAGATACTGTCATTGCCATAGACCGTTCTTACTTATCTTAAAAGCAGTGGAAAATCATATATTCAGATGTGAATTAAGCCCGGCATTAAAAGAGCGAATCAGACAACGGGCGGCCAGCCCCCAGCCAAAGTGTTGAGAAATACCCTCAGTACCCTCTAATACTAAGTTTTCCATGTCACCCTTTAAGTTGTAATATACCCAAGGCCCCAGCTGACTGCCAATCCTTTTTAACGACAGCTAAACAGCCTCGTGACAGACCCGCTCAATGGAAATAGTGTGATAGCAACAATGAATCTGAATCTAACTGAATAGTCGTAAAGCTAGGGCCCTAAGCCCATCCCAGTGCGCTATACAATAGTTTAGCGTTAATTAAAAACAATTATACATGATTATTATTAATATCTGATTTTAATTATGAGTGGATACAGGTGTCTAACAGTTTTATTTGACAGTTCCACTTTTGACGACAGTCTGGAGGTGTCAAAACGTAAACATCCCTTCTTCCACCTCCCGATTTAATTAACTAATGGCAAATAAATGTGGCTGAGTGTAAATGGAGGCGCATAAGCCTTTTGACAAACAAAACATTGCCGTTTTTAATAATCAATTTGTGATTAAACCAGCAATAGCGAGAGCGTGATTCCACATTCAATACAAAATAAAATGACAAGCATTTAAACGGCCGGCGTTAACTAAACAAATGATGAAAAAGTTCATCAAGAGGAGAACTGAATTGGTAATAAAACGGTTCGTGAAGTTCTAGTTGAATGAACTATGTTTAGGTTAAAATGAAAAAAAAATTCATAAGTTTAATATCTTTGAATCTGAAAAGCAGCTGTCGAAATCTTAACAGGAACAGTAAAATAAACACTGTTTTTCGCTGACCATTCATGTGATAGCAGTTGTCTTGGGAACTTAGCTTTATGAATTGAAATAGTACAATCTGCAATGTTAAGTTATATTAAAGAACTACTCTACACATATGTTATGTTATTTCATCATATATTACAGCCAAATGCGGCGAGGTTTCTGTTGGCTTAGTTTTCTCAGAAACGGAGGGTATCCATAAAAATGACCCCTTAATTAACTCAGAGTTTGTTGACTGTGTGGGATCCATGAACAGGACGCTTCTGTCAATCATTTGCACGATGTTATCACGTGGGATACTCAAATGTTCTCACCTCACAGACACCTGCTTTGCATACAACGTGAAGCTCGAATTGTGATATTGTTGAGTGAAGAAGAAAAAAACTACTCTGAAGAAAAAGCCCAGTGGGAAGGCAAAAAACCTATCACGTTATTTCGAGAACCTAAAGCGTTACGCGTGCATTCTTGCTCGAGAAGAACTCATCATATCTTGTCAGGCATACATACGAGACTGTGTACAAGCCTTACACAGCTAGTATAAACTTACTGCAAATAAAACATTTTTTTTTAAATCGTTAACAGTTACCTACTTTATGCAAGGTTCAAAAATGATTTTAATTAATATACAAAATGACCCTGCATATAAATGATATTTGCACAGTCTCGTTATAGTTTCAGGAAATGTTATTTTCATTGCAAACTATGATCAAGAAATCTAAACTCTAGACTAAGAACGGTCGTTTCTCATGGATGGTGTAGGGAACAGCGGTAAAAAGATAGATAGGGATAGATGGGATAACGTCAATGAAGGGAAAGCTTCTTACGAAATAAGAACTGAACTCTAATTGTTCTCACAAAAAAAAAAAAAAAAAAAAAGAGCATGGATGCTCCCAAATAATCTTGACAACAACAGCTATCATTGAACTTAGCAACAATCCTGTCAAAAACTGCAACTTGCTGGATAATTCTCAAGGCTGAATTTAATCCTATTATGGGACATGTACACCCATGTACACTGTGTACCTGTTCCTCAAGGTGACTAAAATAATAGTGNTTCCTGCTCCTTTTGACAGATGCCAAGCAGTCTAAGCTGCCCACGAAATAAGGACTGCATCTTGACTATTGTCGCCAAAAAGGCGGAGATCGGCCCTTCCTCAAACAGATTGTGGAAATGTCAAATCGTTAATTGCTTTCGCACTAAAGACGACATCAAGCCAGGTGACATCGAGCAAGGTGACATCAAGCCAAAAATTATATCGTCTTCGGTGGAACATAAATAGACCGACGAGTAAGCATACCAGAAGCACAAAATTTGCAAGAGCGTAACAAGAAACTGAACGACTATGTCGGAAAACTTGAACACAACGATGAATGAAACACAGCCATCGAGCTGCTTCAATCCTACAGCAGAAAAAATCGGAAAAACCTTTGCTTACTGCCTGTTTTTTCTCGTTTCGTTGATTGGGAACACAGTCATCGGAATAATTGTCTACAAGACGAAAACCATGAGAAAACCCATCAACTTTTTCATTGTAAACATGGCCATGTCTGATCTACTGTATCCGATTTTTGCAATCCCTCACCATACACGAATGTTCTATATAGACTCCTGGCTAATCGGTGGTCCTCTTGGCCAGGCCTTATGTAAGCTGGTATTCTTCTTAACAGATACCTCCGCTCTTGTGTCTATTCAGAGCCTGGTTCTAGTAACCGTGGATCGATTTGGAGCTGTGGTATTTCCCCTCCGTTACCCACTCATCAGTTCAAAGCTGTGCCCGTTCTTCATTCTCGCCACTTGGATCGTCGCGATGGCTGTACTCTCCCCATATCTCTTCGCCTTGAAAACCTTTGAATATCGAGGAGGGTTGGGGTGTCGGATGCATTGGAACGAAGTATTTGGAGAGTCTTCGTCTTTTAAAAACTACTTCGCGGCAATTTTGGTTGTATTCCTTTGTTTCCCGTTGGTGATGATAGCCATACTATACATCATCATCTATTGCAAGCTCAAGTCGCAGAAGATTCCTGGCGAGCAATCGGCCCACGCTGAAGCTGAGCAACGTCGGCAAGGGAAACGAAATGTGTTAAAGATGGCCATTGCTATAGTGGCAGGGTTTGGAATTTGCTGGTTGCCCCTTATTATCAGGTATTTTCTCGACTTCTTTGCATCGGATATGATTAGATCTTGTGGATTCCAATATTTTTCCTCCGTTGCTTTTTTAATGGTCAACACAAATTGTGCCATGAATCCTTGTATCTGTTTTATTTTCAATAGGAATTATCGCGAAAGACTAAAAACTCTACTTAGATAGTTGACTTTTGAACAGTGCAGTAGCTGATGTTACTTCTGCATAGTCTGACGAGAGGTTCAGTGTACTGAAAAGTTGTAAGAAACGTTAATTTAAAACTGAATTGTATTCGATTCAATGTACAATATAATGGTTTTATGAAACTTTGGAGATCGGTTTAAAACCTTTATTTGGACACTAAGTTTACAATCATTTTGTAGTTATTCCGCAGACCTCTTTTCTTAATTACCTAAGTTATATTCATGCAAGGAAGTTTTTCATCAGAACACCTGTTCTGACGCACTTCGTAATACCTATCGGACCTTGTAAATAACAAGTTTTTGTATGTTGTAATAAGCTTCCAAATTTCTTTTGAATACGATGTTTGGTTGAAAACATATTTCGCTCTTCATTGATATTTTCCGAGATTTGGCATCCACTCAGGAGAATGACACACACGGCCAGTAGATAGAAAAGGAACGAAAGATGTTTGAACAAGATCAATGCCGTATGCAAATTCCCGATTTGCTTTTTCCATCCGTTAGGATCGTTTCCATGAACGACGGTACCACCCGCGCAAATGGGCTCCCAAATGAAATTTTAGAGACAATCATTTCCGAGGCGTTATCTTCAGTTTTTTTTGGTGGTGTAACCATGAATGCGGATGTTTAATAACCTATGTAAAGTCAATTTCCGCTTTCATGATATCAATCGATGCTGCCGAATATTTACTGAACTAGGCATCGTCAGCGTCAGAAACTTATTAAAATTGGGTCCGCAATACGTATTTGTGAGCTTATGGCCAGTGTTATACCATTGGGTTGAAGTATTGTAATCTAACGAGTTGGTAATTACTAGAAGAATAAAGGTACAATATTAAATGAGTTTGGGGATATAGGTTTAAGGATTGGTGGTAGAAAATTTGTTTGTCTGAAAAACGTTTCCCTGCTTTTTTCACACTTTTTTCATAAAAGCCGCCGAAGGAGAGAAGATGTTGCCTTATTTTTTGTGAAAGTAAACAAACGTTTGAGAGACACCCATACACTTTCATAATTTTTATTTCACAAGAAATGCCTGTAATTTGGAAATCCAACGACATATTATTTTCCTTGATAATTTTTCTCAGCGAATGAACGACCTGGCGAAGGATCACTCGAAATTACTAGTAACCAGTTTACCTATAGTTCAAAGTATGCTCCCAGAGGTCTGTCACTTTTCATCCCTTATACATACATATCCACAAGATTTGCCCTGACTTAGCGGGCTTTATGCATTTATAATACATAAGCCCACAAAAAGTCCGGATGCTCGATCGAGTGGTGTCGTGCTGGAGGTACGGTGACTAGTTGCCAGTCCAAATTGGGCAAATGCTTGGCTGGAACTAGAATCTCATGGATTGGGATGATTTATCATCCTTAACTTATTCACTGTACAGTCCTCTAAAATATTTTATTTATGTTATATCATTTTATTTTATTAGCTTTGCCTTTATGAAAAAAAAAAAAGCATTACAATCAATAGAACCACCCATGGTCTTCTCATGCATTCCTTCGGTTTTTCTTTTCATGAATTCAATACGTTAGTAGAGAGGCCATCTAAAATAATTACGCCATAATTGTTTCTGTTTCATGTTCTAGTTCAAGGTTGAAATGTCCTTTTATTTTGATATTACTCTGGTTTTTCCTTTCATGAATTCAATGCACCAGTACGTATTAAAATCGCGTAAACTACGTGATATTATTACGCTATAGAAAACAGCCCTAAGGAAGCGCTGATTGCTTAAAAAATTTTTTTCTATTAAAACTCGATAGAAACAAAGAACTAGCACGAGCTGTTGACGTGATGATGGCGCGAGTAAAGAAAATTTACATTTTGATGATCAAAGTAAACAAGTTCAGTTTCCCTTTTTTTCGTGGCGGTATTTTCTAAAAGAAATAAAAAAACATGTTCTCCGTGTTTCTATCGAGTTGTAGAAACACTCGTGAAAGTTTGGGAGAACTCGAAGAAGCTGTGGAAACACTCACCTGTGGCTCGTGTTCCCACAGCATTTCTCGTTCTCCTAAACTTCCACTCGTGTTTCTATAACTCGATAGAAACACGGTACATGTTTTCTATTTCTTAAATGATGGTTGCTTTTCCATGTTCTAGCTTACGTTTTAAGCATATGCAATTTTCGAGTTCAAATACGATACTATTTCACAATTATTCTATTCAATTATACTTTGCAGTACCTTCTTAGAAGACGCAAATGTTGGTCAAGGAATAGGAGAATTATTTCCGGATCGTACCACTTTGCGCAGCTGTTTTCAATACCTTCAAGATGTGCCCTTTACTCTTTTATAGAGCATGTCCCTGCAAGTTGCTTTCCAGTTTGTTCGACCAAGTTTGTCTGCCCAAGCCCCTTAGATACCTTTTTTTTTCACTGAAAAGAAGCAAATTTAAAGTAAAACATCATTAAGACACCTCGCCCCTCTGGAATATACACCACGCCCATTCATCCGCAGGAGATGCCAGTGAATTCAAAATTCAAATCTTTTTTTTAAGATCTTAAGACCCCATAACAAATAAATATATATTTATTTTATTTTACAAATTAAGTATGCAATATGGTCATTTGATAGATAAACTAGATTAGTACCTAGCCAAGGGGGCGGCTGAAAAGCCGATTTGTAATTGTCATTACTCGTTAAGATAAGGTCTTTCTGTCACCAAACATCGTGTTAAAGAAAAATTGTATTCTGATTATTAAACAAGCTGCAGTGTGATCTCCAAAAAGACAATTCCGAGAAGCGCGGATCACGTGTTTCTTTTTCGTTCTCTGAGTTTAGTATGCAAAATAAAAACGTATTTGTGCATTGGAGGTACGTTTTCCAATAAACATTGTATTCAAAAGAAATTTGAAAGCTTATTACAAAGTGCGACAACTTGTTATTACAAAGCGCGACAGCTTATTTTAATACAAATTGCAATAAGGCTATCATGTAAATTAACAGCATTGAATCGAGCCGGCGATTTACGATCGTTAGTCTTATTACAACGATTTTGTTAAGATCTTCTATATCTGAGAAGCAACAATTTGCTTTTTAAATTTATCTTGTTTCATAAAGTATTTACGAACACAGCGAGCTACAGCAAAATCTCGCCAGTTTACATCCGGGCGCGCGACTCTTTCTTGAGTGAGAAACATCAGCCATCTCATTTACCTGCCTAAGGTTGTGAAATGCATATTTGCATCGGTAGGGTTCTTTAACGCAGAAAAGCTCTTGTACATATTATTTGTCATAAATATCATCAGTATCTTTTGCGGGCTTCAAAACAAGAGCTAGGCTTTCTTGGGAATCCACTCAATTTACAGCTATTGTGATTCTGCTTTAATATAGTAAACTTGTAACTTATGGTGGAAATGAAGCTAGAAAAACATTATTCATTGAATGATTGATTTTTTGACTGACTGACTGACTGACTGACTGACTGACTGACTGAGTGAATGACTGACTTACTGATTGAGTGATCGATTGATCAATCGATCGAGTGATCGATTGATTGATTCCTGAAGGATGATACTTACTCTCCAGTCACCAAAAAGGTTGTCATCCCATTAACTAGCCCAACCAACCGATTACCATCATTTTAATGATATTTTTTGGAGCAATAAATGCTTCTGTATAATGCAATGAATCAGATAATCTTTTGCAGGTATTCCTGCTTTTGCTGACTTCCACAGGTAGGGTGCGATGGCGATGAAAAATCATTCTTCTTTTTATGTTTGGATTGCGATACGTTTATAGATCCCGATTAATCTTTAGAGTTATAGGCTATAGCAATGAATCTCAAATATTCTTTAAATTATCGAATGCATTTTCAATACAGCGGCATTTACTATTACCGCATGTTCTTGTGGATTTTAACTCGTAAGCCGCACATGTACACAGCTCGGATCTATTTTTTGGAAAAGGGATCACCAGGAAAGTGATGGAGTGGTTCTTTATTTGACATCAAGAACTGTGTTCATTGTTTTTTCTTCATTTTGAGGAAACAAGCTAAACGCATTTTCGTCTCCCGCTTCCACCCAGATCCAGCTGCACGCGTTGGTTAAGAGTATAGCGCAATCCTGAGTGTCTCTGTACAATTCTATAATTAAGTAAAAAATGGGTCAATTTTAATCGAGTTTACCTCTCGGATCGTTGCTGCATTTGAGAGAATTTCTGTGGAATACACTTAACGAATTTCCTCGCTATCTGCCACTCAATTTACGGTAGAAAACTCTGATTTCGAGTGATTCGCAACGGCTGACAGAAATTGTTTTCAGTAGTACAACTTCAATCTACACGAAATTTCACACCGGATAAACACTTTCGGAGAACTTAACTGGTGAATTAAATGCAACTAACATAAAGTAGCTCGAAATAAATCTGTTCTTTAATACATCTTTCTTTCTCTAGTATCTGAGTTACTCGCTGGTTCGCTTGTTAGGTTTTTTACGAATGGTTTGTAGACGGCGCGTAAGCCAATTCAGTGACAAAGTTGCGTGAACAAACCCACTTCTAAGCTAGTTCACCCCAAGAAAAAAGATAAACATGTTATTGTCCGGCTTAGGCCGGTCGGTATAGTGAAAAACTGTGACCTCGGGCCTGAAAATGCTGCCTTCGGCTTGCAGCCTCGGGCAGCATTTTCAAGACCTCGGTCACAGTTTTTCACTATACGGACCTCCCAGCCAGCCAATAACATATATATATACTTGAAAAATGGTTTTAAACGTATCTCCTTTCCGGGACCTCTTTGCAAGAGTCATACACGAGGTGTTTCCCACATATAGCCCTAGCTGGACCGGACGCAAAACAGGACACTAAAATGTAGTAGGAACAAAAAAGTGACAGACCAGGCAATAGGGTTAATTCGAAGCACAATCATTAGAGAAGGTATAGCAGGATATGATTTGAATTTCGCACTGTTTCTAGCTACAAGGCTACGAAAGAACGTTGAAATCCATTGTGGCGATCTTCTTGTAGCAACCCTGGAAACCAGGTAACAACGGAAGATAAAGAACAAAAAAGAC